CAAGAATATATATACTTTATGGGGTCTGCGATGATTCCTTCTACCTGTTACATACTTTTCACAAACCATTATACCCTGATTTCCCATTTTCAATGGATTCAGGGCATAAAAATTGGCGACTCTAGCTCTAAAAATGTAGGAGATATCCATTTTTTACTGATTTTCGATAATGTTTTAAATCGATAACAAGATAACGGGACAAGCTATCGAGTTTTTTTTTTTTAAATGCGACATGCGCGTGATATACACAAGCCTAGAAAAAACATTTCTCTAGGTCTTATATCTTCTGAAATCGACGCGTTCATACATACGGACGGACAGGGCTAAATCGACTCAGCTCGTCGCCCTGATMAAGAATATATATACTTTGTGGAGTCTGTCACTCGCCTTCTTCTGCCTATCACATACATTTCAACAACACCATTATACCCTGATGTCCCATTTTTAATGGGTTCAAGGTATAAATAAAACGGAAGTTTATCAAAACAAAAACTAAAATGATAAATTTGCATAGTTGTTTGCATACTTTATACACTAGTAACGGCACGTGGCTTAAGCATACACACACGGGCATAGGCAGACAATCACACACACAATCGATGAATTGCATTATGGCAGGGTGAGCAGCAAGGCGAAGCAGCGGCTGCCCGAGTAGAGCAGTTAGCCTCCGTCGGCTGCACTTTGTGTGTTTGTTTATGGGCATGCCCAAAGTATTTACAGATCGCTTCAGGCTGATAATCGCTATTGGTGTTGTTGTTATAGCTCTTGCGTGGCTGGTGCGAAACGGTGCTCAGGCTAGGGCTGGTTCGGGGCTGAAGAAGGCCCTCCGCATACATACGCAGCCAAAATGAAACAAGTAAGAAGGCTTCAGTCGAGACTGCTCGACTGGGAGATACCCTGAACCCTCTAAGCTAATATTCTACTCATTCTGCACTTCTTTTACGCACACATGCATACACACGAATCCACACGCACGTATATCATGCGCTCTGCTAACTGCGAAGTAAGCAGCGTAGGCAATATTATGAGAATTTATTAGTTGAATAATTTCTCTTGTAGCAAGACTATCTTAATAAAACTTTCAGAGCGTGATCATATAGTTAAAATATGTATACATTCCAAAGCACAAGTCTCTAGTACTTGGTATAAAAAATCTGTAATATACAAAATCTTTGTATCCGTTAACTTTATATACAACGCAAATTTGAAGTCTCCAGTCTAAAAGTGCTCAAATTAGACTGAAAAAACCAAGTCGATTTTTCAATTATTCTCGATAAAAAGATAAGCTTGTACTGCCTATGATATACACGAGTATGCATGCCAAATTTCAGCTCTCTAGCTCTTATATCTTCTGAGATCGGTTTGCTCATACAGAAGGACGGAGGGACAGGGCTCAGCTCGTCGTGCTGATCAAGGATATATATACTTTATGGGGTCTGCGATGATTCCTTCTGCCTGTTACATACTTTTCACAAAACCATTATAACCTGATTTCCCATTTTCAATGGGTTCAGGGTATAAAAAACAAGTTGTGATTCTTGATCGCGGTCGTAGCGATAGGAAAATTATTTTAAAATACAAAAAATGTTTTGCTGCAATATGATAACTATTATTATTATTCATTAAATTAAAAAATTAAAATAAAAAAGACATCAATGCCGTTTACGCAAAATTAATGTTAATGATAGACAAACAGCCAATGGGCCCAAAAGGCAGGCGTTTCGTGGCGATACGTTCGTTCGTTCCATTTGTTTTTTTTGTTTTTTTTATACCCTGAACCCATTTTCAATGGGAAATCAGGGTATAATGGTTTTGTTGAAATGTATGTATCAGGCAGAAGAAGGCGTGGAAGACCCCACAAAGTATATATATTCTTGATCGGGGTGACGAGCTGAGTCGATTTAGAGACTTCAAATCTTTTTTAAAATGTCAGTATTTACAGCGCGGATATCGAGTTTATCATTAAATATCGATAACTCATCCCGATCTTTTTTATCGATAAAAACCGTATCGAAAACCAGTTATAAAATTATATCTTCTACACCTTGCTAGAGTCTTCACATTTTTAATGTATGCTTATATGCATGATTATTATTAAACAATAAAGTTCTCATAGCAAGCGCACACTGCAGCCCATGCGTGTTTATGCGTGGGTGCTTGTGTGTGTATGTGTTTGTGTACGTGTGTGTGTAAATGTGTGTGTGTGTGTGTGTGTGTGTATGTGTGTGTGTGTATGTGTGTGTATGTATGTGTGTGTGTATGTGAGTGTGTATGTGTGTGTGTGTATGTGTGTGTGTCTGTATGTGTGTGTGTGTGTGTGTGTGTGTGCGTGCGTGTTTCTTGTGTAAGCTGAAAGACGCGAAAAATTATTGATATAGCTATTGCTCCAAGGGTTCAGGGGATCTCGTAGTCGAGCAGTCTCGACTAGAGCATTTTTACTTGTTTTTCATTCGTATTTCTTTCGTAACTCGATTCGTTTGGGTTCGTGCACGTGCTTTGCATGCGCTCGACGCTCAATTAGCTGAGACGCAAACCCGAGTCCGAGCCCAGGTAGCAAAGTGCATGAGACTTAAATAACAAAAACAAAAAACCAATTAAACAAATTAATTAAACTGCATTTTCAAGCTTTAGTTATTATTATTAWTTTTGTTTGCTTTTTGGCTTGTTTACATTCACATTGATTCCACATTTTATTTTATTACTATGTATATATGTTAATATTTATATAAAATACAGTTTTATATATGTATGTACAACGACAAATATGCCCTTGGATTGGGCAAATACATATGTATATGTATGCATATGGTTATTATATGTTATATAAATGTACGCGTTTCTTTGTGGATAAAGATATTAATTACAATTAATTTACGCTTTTAATTAGGCTTCATTTTCTTTTTTATTTCAAATGGAATTAATATGCAAATCAATCAACGATTCAAAAACAAACTCATTAACAAAAAAGAACACAATGCGCAAATCCAATAAAAAAAAGAAAAAAATGTGATAATGATAGACAAACATATCATATGTATATATGTATTTATAACTAAAAATTGCTAATGTGCCCGCACAGTTAAAAATTTCCATTAAATGTGGAACGGAAGTCGAAACAGTTTAGAAATTGCATTTAATTAATTAATATTATAATTACTTTATTGAGCATATACAACGCGATTTCGATATAACGCGATTTGGGAAAATTAGATTTCAATACAACGCGAATTTTAGGCTTATATAACGCGAAGGGGAAAATACATAATTATAACGTGCAAAGATCTTTGAAGACAGTGAAACAGATCAATTACCATATGAAGTTTGAAGAATAACAATCAAGTTTTTAATAAACCTTTAATTTGTTTTTAAATTTTTTAATGTGCACATAATTATTTTAATTTTGTTTTTTGAATTTTGAAATACATACAAATGTATGTACATTTGTATTATTATTCATATCTTGTATTGAGCTGTATTGTATTGTATGTGCATCTGTTATTTTGTATGTATTTTATTGAAAAAAAAAAAAAACCTTTTGGAACCTAACCCCCAAATTTATATGACAACTATGTTTTAGATAACGCGGATTTACATAACGCGCAATTCTTCTGGAACGTAATATACGAGGGATACCTGCATATACATATATGTGTATATACTGTATATGCAGCTTTGATAAAGGAATTAATTGTTGATTAGTGATCAGTGATCACTCAAATATGGCCGAGCGGTAGGGCTACGATCTTGAGATCTTAGCCATGTTATAACATATTTATAAACCGACAAACAGATTGGAGGTAGGATCAGTAGAAGACGATCGTGACTCAGTCGATGATATACATAGCTAGAAAGAACAATTGACCCACAAACATAGATTTATAATTTGCTAAAGAAATGGTGCTAGACCGGAGATATGTGATCAATGATCACTCTACAGTCATGTCGAGTCAGTTACTCAATGTAACGCCTACGATCATCCAACAGAGAAAAACTTTTACAATGAGAATCAGCGGAGTGGCGATCAGTGATTATGACTCAGGTGGAGATCACATGCTGTGGCGCAATAGCGCATTGTGGCATAGAGGCTTTAACAACAGTTTCGATTATAATTCCGCTGGTAAGCACAGCGAATCGGCGGGCGCATGATCAATGACTACGTAAATAGAATTGAGTGCTACAACTTGAAGATCTGCTTGAATGGGAATGCCTATTTAGCGCCAGCCTTAAACTAATTGTTCTTGTATTCGTACATGCGTACGTGGATATTTCCTTGCTTTACTGTTGTATTTTGTATTTGTTTTGTTACTTTTTGTTAGATTTTTTCTCAGTTTTTGTTGATTGTTTATATTAAGACTAAACAGAGAGATAAGCAATTGACAAGAGCCTGACAACAGCAGCTGGTTCGATCAGTTGTACAGTTCTATTTAATTTATCTCAATCCGTGTGCTTAAAGTTTAGACAAACATTGAAGAGCGAGTGCGTGGGGATCGATGACGATAACTGACAAACGATGATCGATGAGTGATGAGCGATGATAAATGCTACTATAGGTGACTTTCGATTGTGGATGATGTGAATGATGCCGAGATGCTGCAGAGCTGCTCGCTAGCGCTCTATCAAATATTGCCGCTTTTGAAGCCAGTGCTGGCAGCTGTTGCTGTTGTTGCGGCTGTTGTTGACGCTGATGGTATACATATACAAATGGTGTTATATCTGTGAGCAATAGTGTTTGATTGTGTCTGTGTGTGCGGGAGTGTGTGTGCAGTTGCTTTGATCAGGACTCGACTTCAATTTGACTGCTTGCTGCCATCGTGTCGAGCAGCTGCAGCGGCGGCGATGGCGTAGTGATCAACGCTGGTGTCCGCCAAACTGGCGCCATCTGGCGGCGTCGGCGGCAGCTGCTGCTTAGTGTGCTTGTACGTGCGACCAAGTAAAGGAACATGCTCTTCTAAAATTAGATAGCGAATTGTAAAAAACGAACAGAAACATCAACAAGTTGTACAGTTAATCAAATAATAATCAGAATGCAACAAATAAAACAAGTAAACAAAAAAAACAAAACAAAAAAAAACAAAAACAAAAAAAAACAATTAAAAACAAATAAATCTAAGCAAGACAATTTTTTTAATTATTGAGAAAATGAAATCTTTTTGTTTTTGTAAGACTCTTTTTTAACTTTGTTTTTCTTCATGTAGCATGCAACAAGACCGCACCCCATTCACAGCGTGCAAAACAGCAAGAGGCATGATAAATATTTATTTATATCAAAGATTCATAGCTGATGATTTTACACAAAAACAAACTTTCAGCAAGAGAAAGACAGAAAGAGAAATTGAAAGGGAGATAGACAGAGAAAAAAGCGAACGAGCGAACGAATGTGAGATAATAAAGGTATAAACCACTGTTAGCTCACCTTGCAGCTGACGATTGATTAGGGCCGTCAGTCCGTGGCCCACATCGACGCTCTTCTTCAGTATGAGCATGGGCTTGTCCTCGGCATCCTCCGCATAGCCGCCCGAGGGCAGGAAACCGTTGCTGGCTATTGACTCGCTCACCTGTTGGCAATCACAAATTTCAATTCAGTCACGCACCGTCTACTGTAGTACATAAACATCTGTATATGCTACAATTGTCACCTGTGTCACCTGCATTAGCTTTTTCACCACATCGCGGCCCAATATGTGGTCAAATACAGTTTGCAGGAACGGCTCGGCCATGATGGACAGCTTGAGCTTGTCCCGATGCCAGATGAGTACGCGCGACTCCTCCATGGCCATTATGGACACCTGTGTGCAAGGTTCAATAAGCTATCGCTACTGGCCAAAGCGCCACTTGCTTACCTGAAAGTAGTCATCGGTCGAGACGCCAAACCACTCTGGCGAGTCTAGGAACTGATGGGGAAACACAATGTGCAGCGCCCGCTGATGCTGCGATACGACCAATCTGTGAACACACATGAACCGATTAGTATCGAGCGGCGATATTATCGGATCGTCACTCACTTGCCACTGAGCACCAGTGACAGGCTGTCAACTTTGGTAACCTTCTCCTGTGCATAGACCTCCTGGTACTTCAGTCCACGTATCACCTTCATGCAGTTGAGCACCTTGCGAAATTGTTGACGCGTCACGTGCAGCGGCTGAAACAGCGCCACGTACATCTGCGACAGAGATAGAAACAAAGAGAGAGACGGATATCATTAATGTGCGAGCCATAAAAATTCGCCAAGGGGCGCTCTCTTATCGATAAAGATGGCAATTATACGAACAGACCCCTCGTAATATCTTATCTAGTTCATAATTACACGCATTGCTCATAAATTGGATCACGCGTCGAGAACGATTTCGATTTCGATTTTAATGTATTTTTGCCAATTGGCCAGACCTACGACCATGCGATCTTTTGAAAGCCTTTCAGACCCTTGGATTATTACCTGGCTTCCCCACTCGGAGATTGTCACGAATGCTTTAATCAGAAAACCTAAATCGGTTAAAATCTTCAGAATATAGGCTATACACATATATTAGGCTCCCTGACAGCTTATGATACTTATTTACACAAGGTCGGAATATTGCGTACCTTATACATTAAATGATTATCATGATTGATCAGGCAGCCCGATAATAATACGTACACTGACGTATATTAGCAACTTTAGTTGGGTGTCATAGGCTAACCAATATACCCTGAACTCATTTTCAATGGGAAATCGGGGTATAATGGTTTTATTAAATGTAATGGTATGACAGAAGGAGGCGTGGCAGGCTGCATAAAACGGACTCGGCTGAGCCCTGTCCGTCCGTCTGATCATATGCTTAAGCGCGTCGATCATAGAAGATATGAGTTAGAGACTTGATTTTTTTTCTAGGTCCGTGTAATCACGAGCATATCGAGTTGTTCTCCAAAAATAATTATCTTTTCCGTTAGTTTGTTATCGATTAAAATCCTTATAGAAAAATAGCTATGAAATTATATCTCCTACACATGTAGAGCTAGAGTCGTCAAATTTGAAATGTTTCATATCTATTTTAAATTTAGAACGTTTCATGAAAATAGTCCATTTACAAGAAGAGTTAGTAAACAATTAAGTTCCCATAATAAACCACCACTGCAGCCAATGCGTGTTCATGCGTGCATGCGTATACCTGTGCGTGTGTGCATGTGCTGTATCTCGTGTAAGCAGAAAATAAATGAAAATTTAATATTTCGACCTCATCCTCTGTAAATTGTGACATTAAATGGTATCAGAGTGACTGCATCGACACGCCTAAATGCTAGCACCAATAGACAATATAGTGGCCATAAATTGATATTCTGGAGCATTAAAGGTGAACTGATCACAATCAACGATTGCTATTCATATGCTGATATGAAGATCACCGAGAGTTAAATCTAATAAAATTCGAACTGCTGAAAGACTAAGAGTCTAGCCATTCGCTATCATTGATCTCACTGGGGAATTGAGGAAACGAAATGAAATGAAAATACATAAATAATAAAGTTCAGATGTGTTAGCTGACGAATTATTTAAAACTGAAGTTTTCAATGGCGATCTCTGCGAATAGATCTGCATTCAGATCCAGACTGCCTGTCAAGGGAACCTAACTGACTGTTATGATTATGATGATATTGATGGAACGCTGATCTCCGATTGCTTGTCACATCGATTGCTGTTCAACATGTTGATTGTTTTCCTTCCAAGATCTCGCATGCCGACCGATCAAATCTCTGGAAGACATTGTCGTGCCAATCAGCCTGCTAGACTCTCCAAAGAGGTATATGCTAATAAAATCATGTGTCTAACGATCGCCATTGAGCACAGAGCAGCGGGCGGTATTAAAGGGGCCAAACATAATCACATGGCCTTAACACATGGCCAGTGCTAAGCGACGGTATTCGGTTAGCGGATTTTCGGTCGTCCGTTGCCATGCAAAAAAATATGTTTATTGAGCGATTCAGCTTACGCTGACACTAGATATCCAATACGAGTATCCGCCACCGGCACCACCGGCGTCGGCACCACCTCCGAGGCGGGGCACATGGCAGTAATCAAGCTGCGACATGAAACTTCAGCAGTTTCTAAAATGCTCTGCTAATAATTGAGCATCATCGTCATGCTTATGGGCTTCACATGGACTTTGACATAAGGATAGCCAAAGTCTATATTGGTTATGTACCTTTAACATTAACTTTACTGATTATTCGAAAATCGACAAATATTGAATATCTAAGACTTGTCAAATCAGTATTCAAGTTTCTACAATGAACTTTGATATAAGGATAGTAATAAACAATTCCAGTTGAGCTTTTCTCAAAACCTTTTAGGTCAATATATCGATGATCTGCACAAATCTAACACAAATAATACTTTGTGAACTTCAAATGTAGAGTATTAAATGGTTAACGTAATGAGCTGCGCTTTCGTTTCATGCTTTGCTTTTTTTTTTTTTGCCTATCCTCTTTATGTATACATACATATACAAGCATCCAAACACACATACACATGCTATGTATATCCAAATAAATAAGTAAAATAATCAAGAGTTTAGCTTAACAGCGGACAAATTGTAATCTGGGCAGGTTTATTCGTTGCCGTTGTTGTTGTTGTTGTTGTTGTTGTTGTTGTTGTTGTCGTTGGGGCTGACCGGCTTGCCACATGTGGCGCGAGATTTGCAACAGCAGTGCCTGCAGCAACAGCGTCGGCGGACATCGCCGCTGATGCTAAAGTCACGTACACCAGCGATCACCACGTTGAGCCACCAGGCAGTGAGTGGAGACCGCGCAGCTAGCAGCTACGGCGATGCTCTTCAAAAGAGCTAAAGAGATCAGGCTTAAATGAACCGAGCTGGAACGGAACAGTAAATCTACAAAGCGTAACAGCGCCTGCCTCTCCCTCGCACTCTCAGGCAACGCTCTCATGCTCGCACCAACTGCGCGTGTGAGTCAAATGAGTAAGTGTGCGAGTCAAATGAGATTAGCTTTCTGGCTGTTGCTGATGAAGATGAATTACTGAGAATGGCTGTTGCTGCGTGCGATCATCTACATACATACGTAATGGGCAGATAAGCAAAACAAAATCCGTTGCGCCACTCAATTTGCAATTTAATTCAATGAAAACAAATATAAGCACAAAAAAAAAAAAACAACAAACAAACAAACAAAAAGTTGCTGCCCACCGTTTGACACGAAAAAAATAACGGCCATTGACCAATTGCGTGCAAAATGAACCAGAAGAACAGTTACAGACGAATGAACAGCAGCATAAACGAAGAGCAGATACTCTGCTTGAATAGTTAAGTTGTGGAGCGAAACAGTGCGAATAAACAACAATAAATCACTCATTGAGTTTTCAGACATTTGTATTTATTTACTTCCATTTCCATAATGAAGACAATGATTAATTTTGCCATTGGCTCCAGGACAAAGTGCTCCACAGCCCACGCATCATTTCCCATTACAGACTTTTACCCACTTTTATTTTGTCGCACATTTCAGTATTGCCTAGATAACTTGATCTATTCCAATCCACTGTTGTCATGGCACTGTTTATTCCTTGACGACTCTCGAGAGCGCTTTAAAACTGACCTGCCTGAATGCTACGCGTATATATGTACTCACATACTCACGAGCACAGAGAGAGACAGAGAGAGAGAGAGAGAGATGCGAACAATGCATAGACATGCCCATATTGGTGAGCTCTACCCAGCTACCCAGTCAACAACTGAGCTGTACCAAGAGCCATTGAACTGAACCCGTTGCGCTACTCTATTGATAAGCTGTTAGCGCTCAAAGAGAAATTACGTATCTCTCTCTCTCTCTCTCTCTCTTTCTCTCTCTCTCTCTCTTTATCTTAAAAGTAAAAAGGGAACAGAAAAAAAATTCCACACACCATTGGTGCAACTGCGAAATGGCAGGAAAGTTGTATATTCTGTCTTTAGAAATATATACATATAGCTTTTATAAGTAATTTTCTCAAGCTTAGTTCACGGTTTTAGTCACTGCTTCGTCTTCACACTTGCGCTTCACATCCATGAAATGTTTTCTTCATAGATGACAAATTCGTTTTGCAGCAATTTAGTAGTGTTTACGAAGTGTTTAGCAGTCGGTTAAAGCTGATTTGAGCATTGTTAACTTGGATTGCTTTCTAGTAATTCTTTATTTGCTAGCTGTTGCTAGCTGTAAACAAAAATTTCGATCAATTTCGTATACAAGTTGGCTATACAATCAGCTGTTTACAGCCATAGGCACACACAGATAACAGACACCGCAGAGGACGCAGTAGAAGCCAGGGCAGATGGGAGTTAGCGACACGACGGTGTGATCGCCGCTTGTTAGCCCTCGCCGCGGACTTATCAGATAGAGCAGCAGCGCCAACAAGAAATGCAATATAATGCTGAGCAGCGCAAAATGCAGACAAACGCAAAAGCTAAGATGGCAGCAAAAGGAAAACGAGAGGCAGAGGCAGTAGCTCTCTTGTTATTTGATAGCATGTAAGAGTACGCTGGGAAACTTCGTGGTATAATGATGAGATGCACAAAATCCAAACTGCGAAGCACATAGAAGAAGGAAGAGGTAGACTGACAGACAAAAACAGTATGTCCATGGCCATAATGCAAACTATGCAATTTACATAATTCTAAACAACTAAGAAAACTCTAATCGAGAGTGCTCGACTAGATACTACCCTGAACCGAACAAATAAAAATGCACATTTAGTATGGCTAAAATTTCAATTTCGATGTATTTAAAGATATTAATGATATAGAAACCCCATTTAATTAAATATATAAATATTTTGAAACAATTTAAAAAAATAGTACCAGTTGCGCGCTCGGGGTTCGAACCCGAGTCTTCTCGATCGAGCGCCATGCCGCTACTCACAACGCCACCTCACTTTTTGAAGGTCCGTTGTCAAAACTGAAATAGGTTCACTGCTGTAGCGCCATCTAGTAGATTGTAAGAATGTTCTGGAAGAAGTTTGATTGTATGTGTGCACACGTAGACGAAGACTGTTGTAGCTGCTGCACGTGCGTTTGTTAATTGGCCAAACATTTTATTATTTTTTGACGTCGATTGACTTAACGGAATTTAATGAAACTTTCAGCATATGATCTACATATT